CTGACAGCCCCGGCAGCGGGCAGTTTTTTTTTTTTTTTGGCCTTTGCTGCTACTTGAGCTGCTTTCGAAGAGCCTCCGGCTCTAGCCGCGGAAGAATATAAAAGACTTCTGACTTTTAACTTTTTTGGTTATTTTCAACTTCGAAACACTAGCAGAGTTTATTCAAAGCAGTAAATGCTTAGTTCTTTCAGCGGCCCATCTGCAAGGGTCAAGTGAGAGTGGAGCCGTCAGCACAAACCTACGAGCAGTCAGCAAATGTGGAGGAAGAGTACGTTTCTCTTGCGTTATTTCCTTATCGGTTCTGGATAAAATCAGAAGCTTTTATGCATTCTAGAAAATTAGGATTTTTATTAAATGCATTATCAGTCACCCAGATAAACTTGACTTTTTGAATTTCAAATCTGGTGCTCCAAAACGGTTTTGCTAAGTAACGTGGCCGGCAGGCAACGAGACCTTTCGTTTTCGCATTCGATTTCGATATGAAAGTTGTGCAGCCAGCTCTAACATCCAGAGAATAATCTGTAATCACTTTTACTTAGACAACATACATCTTTTGTGCAGCCTCTTTTTTATTTTAATGGCTTTTTGCGGTTTTCTCGACACTAGTAGCGAGTGAACCAAATTAGACAGCCGCTGAAAATATTATTTTAAAATGAAGGGTTCGAAATTTAGTTAGTGGGGTTGTTAAGTATGAAATAGAGCTGATTTTCTGATTCTGATCATTAATTCAAATTGAAAATTCGATTTTTTACGATATTTGCAGAGTAGCGCCAGCGGATTATCAAAACCGACAGCAGAGTTATCCAAGTAAAAAATTTTAATTCATATGCATTGTTTATGCTATGCAAATTTGAAAAAAAAGACTTCAGAGGCCAAATTACCCTCATATTTTTGCAAATATTTTCTTAATTTATGATTTTTGCTAGAAAAATTAAAAGTATAGAGCGCATTTGTGCGGTGTTCATCTATGATACATGCGTTATGTGACCTACGTGTCTATTATACAAATAACACACTAAAATGTGAGCATATTATACTATGAATATCAACACTACCCGGGCATTAGTGTGGATATCCTATGTAAATGTTACATTTCTAAAATTATGAAGAAAATTTGACAGCTGAAGTTTGCGTGCTACAAGGCTCCTGGAATCCGCGTTATTTTTTAAATCATTTAGGTGCAACCGATGCAGGCTACAAGAGCAACGAATCACCGTTCCAGAGTAGTGAAACTTACCCGTCACCTCGACGATCACCAGCGCCTCCTGCCCCTCCTGGGCCACCGGGAGTTAATCCACCACAGCGACAGGAGCAGTATGCCGCAGAGAGTAATTATGAGGTATGTGTCAGTTGCAAAGGTAGTCATATGAGGACGCAGAGGGCCTGAATTAATTGTTTTAGTTCCGAATGCGGTTTCTACGCTCGCAATAATCTGATCGGAATTAGCTAAGATTTACAGATAAATATAAAAACTGTAGTGGTAGCTATCAGGTTGGAGCAGCCAAAGCTTTTTCAAAGAAAGCACTTTTAGAAAACTGTGTTGCTTCATGTAGGTTTTAAAATAACACACAAAACAATAAATAATGTCTTACTCGTTTACAAGGAGTTTAAATAGCAAAAGGCGGAAAAATTATAAAACACTGCAAATTGCTGACCAAACCAGCACGCTGATTTGGATGGTCAAAATTTAGAAAAAAGAAAATTTGTTAAACGCTGCCTTGAAAGGAAGGTCAATTGTCCTTTCTTCCATTTCTTTGCTGCAACCTTTCTTTTTTTTTCCTTCCAGTGCTCCTCTGTCCCTCACGTCGGCCCTAACAGTAGCAAATAAAAACAACTTTCAGCGTAAGTTCAAAATTTGAAAAAATCTAAAGTATTAAATTAATCTTCCGGTAACAATGTGCAATATTTCCATACAATGGTATGAAAGTTTTGCATATAGCTGCTAGAAGATTAATTTGACACCCAAATTTTGGATTTTTTTAAAATGCTTCAATATGCTCGATTCTTCAACGTGTTTTCCACTATAAACGAAATAAAATCCCATTTGGCAAGAAGT